AGATGGAAAGATAAGTGCTATTAAAATATAACATAGGTTTACATTCTAATTCTTGTATGTGGTAGACTGTCTCCTCAACTAGGTGAAATCAGATGGTTTTGGATCTCACTTAGTTACAAGAAGTCATCGGTCTCACACGTAAATTGATTTAGGCCTCAAAGGCACGGACGGACGTTGACAAACTCTCCAGTATGGTCGGGGCAAGAACAATGACCTCTGGAAGACTTTTAGAAGCTATGGGAGCCCTAGGAGGTTGAGGGAATTCATGGATAGAAATCCTGGGCCATGATCCATCCTGGTATCACCAACCACTACTCAGGTACTTGCTTTTAAGACAAGACCTAAGGAAAACATTTTAATTTTCTACATAATACTGGAGTTCCAATTTCTTCTTCCTTTTGCTTCTTTCAACACCCTAATCTCACCCAGAAAAGGACCAGATCCTCCAAGTCACACTTCATTGCTGTTGGTTGTAGAGTTAAGTTAGCCTGACAGGGCAGTACTGATCACAAAAGCATGAGCTATCCCTTGGCCAATTTCAGGGCGCAGTGACAGGTGGGGATACCAGGCTCACCTCTCCCAGGTCCTTACCACCACACCACGGCAAGTGGACCACGCGGAAAGCAAAATTATGCCCTAAATCCAAAGTGATTCACCACTGTTCCTCCATCGCAGCTCCTGAGGCTGCTGTGTGTGCCTACTGTGCGCAGCATAAACACACCCCTCCATCCACTCATCCAACACACACATTTTGAGCACTGGCTATTTTCCAGGTGCTGTGCTAGGTGCTCGGAATACTTGTCCCTGAGTGTCCCCACTCAGCCCTGTGCGGACTTTCCTCACATCATCTGTGGCACTTTGTTGTACTCGTGTGTCTGCCTGTCCCTCCCTCCCCAGTCACCTCTCCCCCAGACTGGAAGCTCACCTTGAGAGTAGAGACCGGGTCTCATTCATCAAGGAAGAGCAACGTCACAGAAGCCATACCACACAAAATCCACTACCTAAGTGACAGAATCAGGTCTGCATCACTGCTGCCTGGACCTTGTAAAGAACGAACTCTGGTATTTCCAGAGTTTATTGAGTGCAGAAAATACGACACATGACTAGTTCACTGACTCCTGGTGAAGATTTCTGGGTACCTGCGGCTCATCAGGTACGTGCCGAGTTGTGGGGATACAGCAATGAAGGAGACCTCGAGTCTACTGGGCTCTCAGAGGCGGCTCGGGCACAGGAGCTCTGGAGCCTGGAGGAGCCAGATGGATGCTCGGGAAAATAACACGGTGATGTCAAAAGCAGGTGTCATGTGAATTCTGAGTCATCTATTCCATCTATTCCCACAACTTTGGAACTTAAATGCTGAAAACTCCCCAAACCACTTTTATCTCTTCCGAAGGCAAACTGTTTACCTGGTGGCAGAACACTGGATGGCCTTCCTGTCGAAATCCTACCCACCCAGGATAAAAGGCTTCACTATGCATCGGTGAGGCCCATCACCATCACTACCCATCACCTTCGGTGTCCCTTAACTTCAGGAGCCCTTTGGTGTGGCTTGCATCCTGTTTGTGGCATGAGCTGGGACAGGATGGATCCCAGCAACCAGCTCTGAGCAAGGCTGGTGGCCCCCGGGGATCCCAAGAGGCAGTTCTAGAAGGTTCCTGAGCCCTGCCAAGATGGGAGCTCTCTGAGCTGCTCCACCACCCAAATTTCACAGACGCTGAGTCATATCTGGGTATAAACAGTCTCTGTGGTGACTGACTCCTTTCCCAACCCCACCAGCAAGGCACCATCACTGATCTTGAGATGGCAGAGCACAGGGGACACCAAGCCTGACAGTGTCACATGTGGGGATTCCAGTTCCAGGAGCCTCAAATTTCACCAGGACCTGTATCCCTGTGAAAAGTAATGTGCCCTTACCATCTTTTCTAGAGGAGAAATGAGAACAAAGTAGGTTCTGAGAGAACAGTAAACTGCCTGGGGAAAAAAAAAGTGTGGGCCAGGAAAATTCGAATGTTTATTTACCAAGCTGGTTTCAACAGGCACTGCTCTGACATCCTGTCCTAGGTGCCAAATGCCTATGTATAGTCCCACTGTACTCTGCCCACGTCCTGAGCACCAGCTGCTGAAGCGAGTAAATATATCCTTCCCCTCCCAACCGAAAGCCTGGCTTCCCACCTTGGAGAGCAGCCTCATGGGGACATATTCACGGGGACAAGTGTTAGGGCGCATGATCCCTATGCTCCCCACCCACCCGCTGCTCATCACTCTACAGTACAGCAGTTCGGGCTAGCTCCAGAGGAGGCTTTGGCCAATATGATGGTAAATAATGAAAAAAAAAAAAAAAACAATCAAGTCAAGGCATCTCCTTATATCTAGCAAATACACACACACTTTTGTTTCTCGCCTTATCCTGTGGACGTGAACCACCGGGGTGGGGCCCAGCAACGTCAAACGTCTAGCATCTCCGGTGGCCGTCGAGAGCGCCTATGCAGCAGCTGAGCACAGGCTCAGTCCCTCCTTTTGGACGGACTCACTCTGAGCAAGGCTGGTGGCCCCCGGGGATCCCAAGAGGCAGTTCTAGAAGGTTTCAGCTCCCTTGTCAGATGGGTGCTGAGCGCCAGGCACCCACAGGTACCAGGTACAACATCAGGCAGGCACCACACGTAAAACCGGCTAAGACAGCTTTCTCCTTCAACAAGCGAACATCTGCCGGACAGTGACAACGCAGCAGGCAGGCTGCCCCGGAAGATGACGGCCTCCCCGCTCCCCTGCTCGCCCCACAGGTCCACCAGGCGAGGGAAACAGGCTTCAGGTACGAGACGCCTGGTAGCACACTGTCCGCCCGTTCTGCGCATCAGGACAGACCCCACCGGTGTCACTATCAGCCACGCAGCTTGCCACCCCAAATCCTTTACAATTAAAGGGCAAAATCTACGTTCAAGTCACTTCCTGCACATAGACTTAAAAATAGAAACATCAGGAAATGCTAAAGTTAAGGTCACCTCGCCTACACAGCTCATAATATGAATTCAAAGTTACATTTACATCCCTTCCAGATCCAATCTCACCTAGTTAGTATGCAGGAGTGTGGGCTCTGCATCGATCTCTCTCTCTCTCCTCTCTACTCTCTACCTCCTCGCCCTCCTCTCCCCCCCGCCCTCACGACACGGCATAAGGAGCACCAGGCTGTGATATGTATGACCAGGAATTCTTGGGAAATGGGTGGCACTGGAAAGCCTGGGAGAGGGCCTGGGCACACGGTGCCCCTGCCAGTCTCCTGCCTGCTACTTCTCAGGAGCTCTCACTCCGCTCCGCAGGCAGCTACAGTGTTTGGCCCATTCAGCTGATGCCATCCTATAACCCCAGTCTCGCTGGCTGCTTCCTCTTTACTCAACCAGGTAGCGAAAGAAGAGGCAGCAAGTTCTCTGCAGTCCAGAGGCACCACCCAGGTGGCTGCCAGCAGAGCCTGGAGACACCAGGCAGCTGGGTCTCAGGGAGGGTGGACAAGGCCCTCTGCTTGTGCTGCAGCAGGAGCTGGCCACAGGAAGACGAGACAACCGGTTCGCAGAAAAGAGGGATCCAGAACCCCTCCTGAAAAGTCTGAGAATATCTCCTGCGGTCTCAGAAATGGCAACTGTAAGAGGAATCAAGTTACAATCTCAAGATGACACAGATCCCCAGGCCAAAAACAAGAAACCAAAATGAAAGAACATTTGTTTCCATTATCTGGTACAAAGAGACTTTTCTTTTCTTTTCTTTTTTTTTTTTTGAGAAACTAACGTTGGTGGTCAGAGCATCAGGAAAAGCTCTGCTCACTTTGTGGGTTGTGGATTCACTTGAAGTACACAGAAAGGACGGGCCAGGAAGATGGAGATTATTTTTACACTATGTTTTTCATGCTTCTAAGCGTGCGCTGCAGCACACAGATTCTCAACACTGTCAAATCCAAAGTATCTATCTATATAATAATATATACTTTTACTATCCTGAAATAAAATTCACTCTTAAGCTACCTCCATACATAATTTCACACACACACACACACACACACACACACACACACACACACACACACACACACAGCAATAATGGCAACACAGGGAGAAAAGTCAATGAAAAATAATTTGTAATTTAAGAAAATGCTTCAACATGGAGATGCTCGGGCGCAATCAGTCCAGAAGCTCGTCACTCACTCACTCCACAGACAATCGGTCGATGACTCAGCTTCATCACACACCGATGTCGGCGTGTCCTGGTGTCAACTCAAATGCATACGGGCTGTTGCCACCAGCGACATGATCTTCCAAAAGGACAAAAACTCTTGACAAAGTTCTGAACAAAACACAAGACAAACTCCCCTTGATTTATGGGGTTGTTGCATATCTACAAGACCGAAAGCACCCTAAAGCTGTGTGTGGGGTGGGGGTGGGGGATAATTTGTGTTTATTTGCAAAACGGAGCTAGTTTTTTGGCTCAGATAAATATGCACATGAATGTCCAGTGGAAGAATTTTGTGATGCAAGGGATTCACCTGAGCATGCAGGACATTTGGCGACCACGTCCGCAACCACTAAATGCCACTTTCCCCCAGTTCATTATCAAAACCAGAAACAGACTCATAAACTTCCAAAATATCCCTGGTGGGCAGTACTCCTTCTGCCAAGAGCCATCTCTCCCTCTCTCTGTGGACAGGACCTCAACTTTACCCCTGGGAGGGTCAGTGACACCAGAGGATGCAAAACGCACCAAAAAGCACACAGCTGAGAGCAAGAGCAAAGGGAAGGTTGGCTCCCCCGCTTCTGGAAGGAGGAGGAGAGGTGCTCACCGGCAATGAGAAGAAAAGACAGCACTCAGACACACAGTGCAGCATATTTAACTGTGACTGTCATCTTGGGCTCAGAAATGGGTTAGCCGATTAAATCATGAACCCCTAGACCCCCTCTGAGGTGAAAACTATAACAATGCTGTGAAGAAGACTAAAAAAAAAATATCAAAAAAGTTACAAGTATATCATAAATGGCTGAATTAAGTTTTCGACTACATAATCCCCTATGACGTTAGCTCTACACCTTTGACATCGAACAGCTTTATGTTTACTTACATTCGGATGACAGTTTGTGTGAATTGTTATTAATCTACTTGATTTATTCGATTTCTCTATTCGGTTTCTCAGAATGTCCACTATGTAATTCCATAGGTGAGCAGCTTGTGGGGAATCAATACATTTTAGATCTGAAAAGAAACTCAGAAATTATCCAATTCAATTCTTTTATCTTTTTATTTGCTTTTTTTTTTTTTGATTATTTGTTTGTTTTTAATGTGAATGCAATTTTACGAAAAGGCAAAGATCTTGATAAATCCAAGCTGTCAGTGGAAGGAGTCAGCATTTTGTAAATACGACATTACAATTCTTTTTTTAGTTTTCCAAGCTACACCCGCTACTATAAAATTCTGCATTAACGCTCATGACACAAACTTTATCATGGTGTCAAGAGCACATTGAGCACTAAGTTCATTTGCACAGAACTTAAACTCTCCTAAGATTTTTAAATTTGCAAGCTTTGTATAATGATTATTTTTAATTAACTCATATTTCCCTAAATTTTTCTTATGTTTTTACTCCAATATTCAGTGGTTTGTGACATTTTTCATTAATCACATTTGCAGAGCTCTGTCATCTAGGCAAACATTACTCTTCATCAGTCAGCGAAATAAAATAAAAATAAAACCAATTAAATAACAGAAATAACAGATGGACTATTCAGTGAGAGAAAAAAATCACTCTGAGTTGGCCAAGTTCAAAGGCTATTCAAGTCCAAAACTGCGCCACTCACAAAGAGACCACCATTAATATTATGTGCTTCTGGTATAAAGATTAACCTACTTTTCTAAAGATATCTGGGACTCTATATTTCTTTATTGTTATGATTCTCTTGTCAAGAAAATTCAAAGCATCAGTTTGAATGTCATTGTTAAGCCTGCAGAGAAGTAAATTCTATCACAGCATAAATACCATGCTAGAAAAATGTAAATTTTATAAACCTTCCAAGTCCACTTAACCTGAGGTCACAGCCAACTGCTGATGTTCTCGACAGTGCGAGATGTCTGGCGATAAACAAAGAGAAGTGAATCCTGGCAGGAAATGTTTCTTAATAGCAGGCTGTCATGATTTGAATCAATTTATCTTGTGATAAACATTCTCAGAGTCTGAAAGACTATGCAGAAAAACAGGAATATGGCAAGTGTTTTCAGGGCAGGGATGTGCTACAGGCACCCTCCATGCTGATTACAACCTAGCGGAGGAAGGGCTTCTTAGAAGAGGGGAGAAGAGAGTTGGGGTGTACCTTCATTCTCGTTCTCCATGAGGGCTATGGCTGTGACAGAGGCACGTGCTTCGCCCACAGAAAGGAGGCAAAGGGCCTCTCGTTGTACCTTCTGAGGTCCCTGATGAAAATACGAGGTCGATGGTAAAGGATTCGATTCCATCAGAAACCGATTCCCGCCAGAGCTAAGAAGACTACCTAGATGTCAAACTTAATTGCATTCGGGGGCATATAACAGACACCACTGTTTTTCAGACACTTGAAGAACTTTAATGAAGTAGAATTTAAGCTCAAAATCCATATGAACTACTTAGTTGGAAATCTATTTAAAGACTCTGAGAAGAAACCTAAGAAAAGAACAAAAACGTACACACAAGATTCTATTAGGGAATGTGCTCTGGGAAAAAGAACACCTGCAGAACACCTGCTTTCAGGAAGTGCTGCTGTTCTGTGGGATTCAAAGAGGATAAAACAGAATATTACTCAGCCATGAAGAAGAGTGAAGTACTGATTCATGCTACGACACTGATGAACCTAGAGAACATCATGCTAAATAAAAGAAGCCGGACATGAAGGTCTATTTTGTATCATTCCATTTGCATATGTGAAATGTCCAGATTAGGCATGTGCACAGAACGGGGAGGAGATTAGTGGTTGTCAGGGGCTGGGGGTTTGGGGAAGTTATGAGTGACTGTTGGTGAGTACAGGGTTCCTCTTTGAGGTGAAGAAAATGTTCTGGAATTAACGGTGCTGGTTGCATAACTTCATTAATATACTAAAAATCACTTAACTGTACACTTTAAAGAATTTAATGGTATGTGAATTCTATATATATATTTTTTAAGATAAGAATGTCAGTGCCTATTTTACAGGACAGAAATTAGAGTCTAAAACGCCACGAAAAGTGGGTTTCAAAGAACCAAATCACACAAAACACACCATCACAGCACTGTCAGGTTAATGAAAATCTGTAAATTTACAAAAAAAGGCACGAGAATAAAGATAGTGAAACTATGACTGAACACTTGACCTCTGCCTGGACTGAGAAAGCCCCAAATAAATGATCACGAGCCGGTCACCACCCCGGCCCCCAGAGAGGAACCCAGATGAGACGAGGCCCATCAGCCACCACCCATCTAGTTACACTTGACTCTGTTTTACCACAGGGCACGTTGTCACCGAGTTTTACTTTAGGTATGTTAAGAGTGAAATCTTTGAAAAGGAAAAAAGTGGTTAAAATCCCAACATTTTTCCCTCTGTGGAGGAAAAAACAAGCCAACACAGTTCTTGCCCTATCTACCACTCACCATGACCTTGTCCAAGTTACTAGCAACTCGATGTGTCTCTGTGCCTTGATTTACCCAGCTGTGAAAGTCAAATGATAATAACACATCTCTGCTCCACTGGGGTGATGTAAGGGATAATTAATGCTTTTAAGGTTCTTGGTGATCTTTATGTTTGAGACAGCCTGTTATTATTACAAAGCCTTAAACTCTTTTTCTAGGGCAGCCGAGACCTGATTCTATTTAAAGAGGTAAAGAGACTTGTTACAAAATGGAAAGCTTGATCCATTACTTTTTTTCACTTCACAAACTTTTGTAAGACATGCAGATTTCTAGGGCCATATAAATTGCTGCTTTAATCATATTAAATAACTGAATCTGAGAGAGAGAAATTAAAAATATTAAACCGTTTTGTCCAATCCTTTGTTTTAAGAGTTGAAGACAGGAACTTCGAGGAAGCTGCTCAAGGTCAAGCATGAGGCCAGGAGCTAGAACCCGGATGCCCTTACCCTAGATCGACAGACATTTATAAATGTTACAACTCCCAAATCGAACTTGACACACATCTCACATCAGCACTGGCCTACACTGGTGAGACAGAAGTTACTGTTCCTTTCCAGTTGTGGTTTTGATTTATGGGCCAAAATAATCCTACTCCACAGGCACCGGTCAGACCATTAAAGCTGCAGAGCAGACGGAGGACCCGAGCTGGGGTGTAAGGATCTCAGCCAAGCAGAGTCATGGGCCATCCCAGAGTCCCCTACACATGGGGACGCATGGGTGCGTCTCAGCACAATCCCCTTGCAGTCATTTATGAAGGAGTCTGGGAAGCTCCAAGGTGCACTCAAAAGATTCTCTCTACCCGCAGAACCCACTGTCAGGAATGCTAACTTGATGTTAAGAGATTAATAACTTTCCCTCCAGTCAATGGATATTTGAGTGGAACACCTGCTATTCACCAAGAACTGCGTTAGCTGCTGTCCGGTACATCTTCGTGGTCCTCAGAGTCCCTGTTTTTCACGAGATTTTCAATCTAGTAGGTAAACTGTGACAAACGCATAGAGTGATATCGCAAGGCCATACATCTTAACTTCCCTATCAGGTATACAGATGGAATATGTTTAGAGTTCAAAAGAAGAAGAACCCGCGATCCCTCCAAGATAACATGCAGGGAGCCCCGCTCCCCCTCCTTGTGGAATACGGTCCTAAAAGAGAGGCACGAAAATTGAGCTGTAGGTTCTGAAAAGACTTCTATGCCTAGGATCTAAACAGATGATAAAATTTCTACTTACACCTCACCTTTTAAACACACCTGATATGTATTTTAATCTTCTCCTTCCCCAGCGAAGTCACAGTGACCTGCTGAATATCAGAGACCATCCAAGTAGGGCTAGAGCTCACCTGACGAGTGGCATTTTGGGGTCGCAGGCATCAAGCTTATGAAAGCTGGGCTTCTTATCAACACTGCCAGCCCCTTGTCCTCAATCATTTTTATTTAAAAAAAATACTGACAAAATTCAAATAATTATGCTAACACTACTATGCAAAGGTGCCCAGACTTCACAGAAGCATGATGTTTCACCGACTGAAACACAGAAGTCAGAGCTGGATTTACAAACATCATTTCAGGAATAAATAACTAGTGTTGGAAAGGTAAATGTAGAAAAGTTAAGACCAGCATGTCCTGTACATAGAAGCTTCTGAGAGCTTCCTTGGGAATTCCAAATCCAGCAGGAAGGCCCCTAGGGCCTTCTGGAGGATGGGCCTTCTATAAACTGTCCCAGGTAGTCCAGACCTGCCCACCATCCAGGGCCCGCTGGTGGGGCTCCTTGCAGAAGACACAAACTAATTCTGCTAACGAGTTCACATGTGTCTTTCCAAGTACGTTTTCCCAGAGCTCCTAGCAAGTAACGAAGCTGGATAACTGGAACTTTGTCAGATTTTCCCATAACATGTTATAAAGATGGTAATAGCCAAAAAGCAGAACAGGATAAAAGGATTAATATGAGAATGGACAGTTTATAAATGACTAGTCAGAGCTGAATCCTGTAGGGTCAGAAATAAATTTATAAGATGTAATAAATCATAACTGAACAGTTTGAAGTGAAAGCGATTGATTTGCTGCACTTGTATTTCAAATGTTATTGATTTCTCCTGTAAACGAACATGTCTGCCTTACGCTCTGAGTGGAAATCTTTAAACTAGGCAATTCATCGCTCCCATCCCCTCCTTTTCCCTTTATGTTGTTAATTTAGATTAATTTTGTGGGGGTTTCTGGATAGGCTTTCAGGGTAAGTCATTTAAAAACTTTCTAAGTGGAGGGAACAGGCTCCACCCAGAGGGGTAACACAAGATGTGCTGAAATGAACTCCTGGGGTCCCCCAGAGCTGCCCACAGCCAGCCTCTCCATCATTGCTCAGCCAGACCTGGGAGTCATCCTGGCCTCCTCTCCCCTCACACCTACACTTGGTCTCTAAGCAAGTCCTAGAGACCTGTAGGTTCCAGCCCCACCGAGGGCAAAGCCAGCATCGCCCTTGCCGGGGTCACCGCACGAGCCTCTGCCCCCTCCTTGGCCTCCTGTTCTCAGCGGCCAGTGATGCTTTAAAAATCCTGATCGGCTCATGTC